CCAAGTACCAGTATAATTCACTGACTTATAACGGGTCTTGTGATGTCTCTCAATAGAACTCTTGCTTTGAATTTATGCCCAGTCTGGTAATTAAACTTTTGCCCTGAAATCCATCCACCCAACAATCCATCCATCCACCCACCGATCCATCCATCCATCCATCCATTCATCCATCCATCCATCCATCCATCTATCCATCCATCCACTGAATTCACTCTACTATCAAAATAAAATAGGCAGTCAATGTGACCATTTCAAGAGATACAAAATTTAAAATTCATTCATAATGTGTACTTCCTTACTTTGATATTTGATGTAGTTAAGAAAAGTCTAGCTCCAATATCATACTTGTGGTGAAAGATGAATTAATACTGGCCATGACTGGAACAAGTCAAGGATGTTTATTTTTACTTCTTAAATTCAATATTGTGCTGGAAGTCTTTAAGTAGTACAGCAAGGTTGAAAAAAGAAATTAAAAATGTACAAAGCAGAAAAGAACAATTAAAATCTGTCTTTAATCACAGATAGCATGTCCACATATATAAACATTGTGATGGAATCTACCAAGAAGCTACTGAAAGTCCTCAATATTGCAGAATTAAAAAAATCAATATCAAATATAAATTGTTTTTATATCAGCCACAATTAGAAATTGAAATTCACAAAGCATTTGAAAAACCTAGGGATGTATTTGACAAAAGATGTAAAATATCTGTACATTGAAAACCACAAAATATCACTGAGAGATGTGGAAGAAGTCTTAATACCTTGTTTGTAGGTCAAAAACTGAAATTTTTTTGTTTTGTTTTTGAAACGGCGTCATCACGTAGTTCAGGCTGCCCTTAAGCTCACTATATAGCCCAGTCTGCCTTAAACTCATGGTAATCTTCCTGCATCAGCCTCCAGAGTGGTAGGATTACAGAAGTACACCACAATGCCTGGCAAATAGAGCGCAATGTTGTTAAAATGTTAATTCTTCATTTTCTCCTCTCTCTGTCTCTGTCTCTGTCTGTCTCTCTCTCTCTTTCTCTTTCCTTTCTTTTTGTCCAAGGATGCCAAAGATTTCCTAGACACAGAAAAAAATTACTTACATTACATTAAAAAGTCCTCAAAGCACTATATTGTGAAAAGCATAGTAGATTTGGTAGCAGTTTGCTGTTTTTAATTTGGGATGGGTCAATGTGGTAATCTTTGACATGTAAATAGTGGTATAAAATGATTTTATCATTCATGCATTTTACCATTGAGTGCCTGCTAATTGTCACTATAGATGTAAGCTTGAAGGAGTCATAACCCTTCACTCAAGGCATTCACAGGGGTGGGAGTATGTATATGTGTTCATGGGGGCAGTGCAAATAGTTCTCTGGTGGAGGTAGGTTCAACTGGAGTCCCTAGAGGAGCCCTGCAGCCTTACAGACTACCTCTATAAGAATGTGAATTAGCCATTCTATTAAAACATGACCACATTATAAGAATAAGTGGTTCTTACTTGTAAGTAGGCATACCTACTAAAAACAGGTCTCTACAGTACAGATTTTGCATAGATAATTTAGATATTTTAATCCAAATTATGTCAGTATTATTTTAATGCTATGTAAATGCTCTTTGGGTAAAACTTCACTTTTAAAATTGCCTTAGGTATAAACAGTAATTTTGAAATGTCTTTAGTCCATCATTGAGGTGTCTACTTTTTCTTTTTTATATTGGTTTGCTCAGCCTCCCTTCACTCTGTATAAAATTTTAGCCCGTTGTTTGCTTTGTCCTCAATAAAAGATTTCTGAAGTTCAAGATTAAAAAAAAAACAATATATGGGCCGACAAGCAGCTCAGCTGACTGAAGTGCCTGAAAGCAGGTGCAGGGGACAGGGGTTCAATCCCCAGGCCTGCCGTGCCAGCCCCGCCCCTGGGGCACGCTGAGCTGGCAATTGCGACTGGACATGGTGGCGTGTACCTGTAATCCCAGCTCTTGGGAGGCTGTAAACAGGAGAATCACTATGAGTCCCATCTAGTAAGTGAGACCCTGAACACCCATCCAGTATACTTAAAAATATCAGTTGTGCAATTCTGCTGTTTAAAGGGGAACTGTTAGTAGCTTCCTTGGCCCTACATGAAAAGGGCTGATATTTTCTGTTGGTTATTTTAATGTAAATGAATCCATCCTAATTTCTAAAAATTGACTGAATGTTTTTCTTGTTAGATAATGTTTAAAAATAAAAACTGGAAGTATAAAAAATACAAAAAAAAAAAAAAAAGAGAGAGAAAGTAACTTAGAGACGAAAGAGAAAACACCACATATTTGCATGTGTAGGAAACCCTAGAAAAGACAGACCTAATCAATAACAACGAAGCCAACCTGCAGTTCCGGAGTTCTGGGCAGCTTTGAATGAGGAGACACAAACTGGGAGGAGACCCAAACAAACCACACTGAGATGACAGAAATGCTCTAGACTGTGGTCATGACTGTGCCTACTGGAGAGAATGCTTATAATGGATTCACTTTAATGCATATTAATTATGCACCATGAGCTCAGTTTCAAAAAGCAGCTCAGTTTTTCAAAAGACATGCAATACATGAAGAAGGAGGGAGAGCGTATTTTTATCTGAAGAAATTGTGAAGGCACTAGAGCAGCACACACACAAGCACAGGAAAAGGGATGTGAAACAGCTGGGTGTATGTATGCAAAAACACTGCACCCTGCTGTAGAGGGTTGCCTGCTTCACGGAGGCGAATGTTTTGTGTTGGCCTTGAACTTTTGAACTTTCCATGCATAGTCCTGCATAGATTTCCCCAAGCCTGTAAGCCAAGATGTGGGCACATCTATCTGATTTTCAGCACCTCTCCTGGGTCTTTTGCCTGGTTTCCAGCTTTGCTCTTCTCTCTCTGCTGTTGCAATCTCTAATCACTCCGCTCTTTTCTGTCTTTCTCTTTGGACTTGCTTCCTGACCTCAATGGTATCTCTGGACAGTACTTTTCCATGGCCATTAATGGCTTGGTTTCCATGCATTGTCTGGCTTAATCTGAGATACACAAAGGTTCAAGAAATGTTGAAAATTAAGGTAGGTCATTCTCTCTTAATCTATAATCTGAATTACATTACATTACAATTTTTCAGTTGTCAAGAACTGGTAGCCCTGGTGTGCTGAAGAAAGAAATGGGACACAATTAAAAGCATCAATGATAATAATAATAATGAAAATAGGGAAAGGATTATAGAGATGGGGGGAGATGGGAGAGGGGGATTAAAAAGAATAAAGACATATTGTGTACTTGTATCTGCTCCCTAAGATGAATGTAAGCTCATGTATTAAAAACACATACTGTACTATTAAAATAAGTTTAAAAAAGAAACCAGTGGAAGAGATTATAGATATCCTGATTTTGAGTGAGGGAATGAACAGTATCACAAATGACAGAGTTAAGCTTATGACAGACTTTCTAAGTGCCCAGAGGTTAACTTGTATATGTCTATCATCTGTACTTTATTTTTAAACATCCTTCAGATTTCACTTTCCCATGATTTAGTTTTTCATGGCTATTTACTACTATACTGCAAGTTTAAAAATGGAAGCTTTTATCTGTCTTAATGGCTTAACCCTGTAACATCATATGCAAATATAGCCCAAATCATTATATGCAGCAACTGTCAGACAATACACATAACCTGGGTGACCAAGTCATCAGTCTCTGGCATCACAACAAAGTCTGTATAGTGTTATGATAGTAAAGACCACTTAGAAAGAAGGATGTGTCCATCAGACTGTTGAGGAGACAACTTTATCAAAGACGAAATATACATTTGAATTTCAGCAAGACAGTGGCTAAATAGACTCCTTAAAGTCAGAAAATGTCGATGATGTAGAGTGTGCCTAAGGAGAGTCACATGGAGAGAAAACATTCCCTCAGGCTTTCACAGAGAGCACATTGGCCAAGCAATGGCCGTGACTCATCCACATGGCTGACACTGACAAAAGATCTACAATCTGAGGTACAGGATCTCAGGATAAATCCTGAGGGGATTTCACTGACCTTATCAGACCCAAAAGCTACAACACTTGTTGCATAAGTCCTGCTTTACCTTGGTCTTAACCATCCAGAAGGAAAGTATAAAAACTAAATATAAGAAATAAAGCCATGCTGTTATGTTGAGCTGTGGGGGACTCAGGTCAACAATTTCTGACATTGCCAGGTAAGCAGAAGACCCAATACTATTATGGGATACTGGACTCTTTTAGAATATTTTGCTGAGTTTACACACCTATAATATCCAAATAACAGAACTTAACAAAAAAAGGGTATTCAGATGAATGTCCATTTTGTGTCTGTGTATTCAAAGTGGTTGGGATAGATATATAGTTACATTCTCTTAATGAATAGAATGATTTGTTCTAATGGTGTTTGTAAATAGGATATCAAGTCCGCATCTTGTACAGCAATTAACCACTAAGAAGAATGTATGCAATGTGTTAATTATTGAAACTGTCCTGCCAATTTGATTTGAAACTGTCTCATTGCTATTTGTTTTATTTTTATTTTTAAATTTTTTTTTTCTTTTTTGAGGAACCAGGGATTGAACTCAGACCCTTGTGCTTACCAGGGAAGCGCTTATTCTATTGAGCCATCTCCCTGGCCCCGTCTCATTGCTATTTGTTTATCAATAAAATTATGGCAAAAAAAAGTCAGAAAATGTCTTTGGAAAACCTCCTCTTACAGCCCTGAACTCTTGCAGAGGGACCTCCTATTCTGATACGCATCACACCTGAGTTGTGAAGTTGATCACATTATGAAAATGAAGACCTTTAATTTTTTCAGCCTTCACTGGAGGGAAGATAGGGCTGATTGACTCTCGTGAGGGTTCTTCTTTCTTCTATTTCTGTACACGTGCACCGAAGGGAACTTCCGATCCTGACTTCCTCAAACCTCTGACAAACTCACCTCTTGAGTCTGAGGTGAATCACATTTCTGATGAACAGTGTTCCACTCACCACCCTCACCTGCCCCTCATGCTGCGGAGGCTCTTGCTGCTGCTGTGTGGTGAGTTGGGCATCTGGGAGCGGGCAGTGGCTGCAGCAGCCGGGCCACTTCCTGCTGAGCTGGGAGGTACGCTCAGGACGGAAAGGGGTGGATACCCTCACAGAAAGTCAGATTTCATTCTTTTATTTGTGTATTTAGTGCAAGGTCTACAGGGTCTCACTGCACAGCTCGGACTCGTACTGATCCTCTTGTTTTCATCCTCCCAAGTGCTAGGATTACAGGCCCACGTTACCATGCCTAGTCTCACTCTCCATCTCAGTGTGCCCCAGGGGTGGGGCCGGAACGGCACTCTGGAAATCAAACCCCAGTTCCAGTGCCTTCTTAAGCAGGTGTTTTAGTACCCTGAGCTACCTGGCCGGCCCAGAAAGTCAGATTTGTAAAGAAAGCAATCACTTCAGTTTTTCTTTCCTAAGAACTGTTCACGGACTCTTCCTTTTCACCATCAATGCTGTATTTGTTCTTGGTGTTTTTAACAGCCCTTCCCCCATATAACAAACTGGTCTCTCATTTCCCTGTTCTACTTTTTTTATTTTAAAGAAAATAGAAAATAAAACAGAATTTCAATATAAGCTAATTGGAGAGTTACCATAGTTAATACAATGCTTATTGTTATCATCAAAGTAGTTACTCAGAGTAAAAGATACAGGTGTGAAATATTGTCCAAACAATATTAGCTCGTCTTTCCTTTCACTAAACTAAGAGAAACTAGCAATATAACTATCTTAACTATTTAGTGTAGACATGTACATTATATATATATATATATTTTTTTTTTCTTTCTTTCTTCCTTGCTCCTTTTCCCCATCACAAGTTGTCTTTCCTTTTGAGCCGTTTCTTCCCAATTTACAATATCTATTGTACATTTTGGGTCTCATTTACTTGTTCAGCTTCTCACACTAGTGCTACAATAGGATGTTTACAAGTGTAGATCTGACTTATTCCTTTTATGAGGATGGTCTTGAGTTGCAATCATTTCCCTTACTATCCAACATTATGCCCCTTTATACTTGGTAGAGTTTTCTTCTAATGTCACCCCTTTGAACTCAACAATCTTTTCTTTTCGGCAACCGTCTACACTCCATAATATCTCTAGCTCACTTTCTCTAGCACCCTACTTCTAGCATGTCTTCCATCTCCCCAGGATTACTGCTCCATGATCAAATGTTATACTTCATGTACTTACTCCTTAGGGTGCTTAGATCTGCAATCCATCCAAACAACCTGCTTTTGTTTCTCTCCCAGATTGCACTGTCCTGATCAACACATTTTTCTGCATATTTTCCCCTGTGCTTCGGCAGCTGGACAGGATTATAAACAGAAGACACATACTTGCTGATTTGTCTCCATTTAACGTGGAGCCCCAAATCTCAGGTGACCATCAGCACTGTTAGACAGTACCGCCTCCTGTACTTTTATAGTCCTGATCACCACTATTTCATACCTCTTCCCTTCTCCTCAAGCATATCTCTTTTTACTTTCAGTCTATCACCTCGCTTCACATTTCATTGCAAGTATAAAAGCAACCAGGAGAAAATATTTTCCTATTTCTCCTGCTAGGTCTACCAACTCACTTACCTCTGAACTCAACCTCTGCTTTTTTGCCCAGTGCCATGAATATATTGTCTGTCAAGCTATAGAAGACAGGACTCTCCACTTGTGGATGCTTCCAAGACCTTTTCTCAAAAAATTTTCCATCATTAAAATGTTTCTCCATTCTAGATTTTTTCCCATAAAGAAGGCTACAAATATACTGTAATTTTTATTTCTAGTTTTTTATTTATTTATTTATTTATTTTTATTTATTTTTTTTA